AGCATGCATGTTACCCTTTAAGCCAAAATGCAAGGAAATAAGACAATGAAGGGAGAGGGGTGTCCCTCCCCTATGCAAGACTTCAAACCACCTTCCTTATTACTGAAAATCAACTGGTTTTTAGTGGTGAAAAGACCAACACACTCAAGCAAACAAGGCCTCACAAGGGAAGCACAGAAGGGGCAAAATAAAGCCTAACAAGGTGAGTTTGCACTCAAACCACAAAACAACCTTAATGAAAGTTCTAAAGAATGAAAATGTAAGCTTTTTTTATGTTATGCACAAAAGCTAAATCAGCAAGCAAGATAGGTAAAAAAACTATTGCAAGTTTGGGGAATCTAAAGTAAAGTGCTCACCCTTGAAGATCCTTTGAAGAACAAATGGTCCAGCCCTCTTCTTTTGATCAAAATCAGTCCAAAAACTCAAGAATCAACCTCCCAAGTCCTTCAAACTCGGAGCTAGGTGTAATAGTGTGTGTAATGGTGCAAAAGTAAGGTAAAATCACACTTTTAGGCCAAGAAACACACACAAAGGAGGAGAGAGAGAGGGAGATATAGAGATAGGGTGTATCTATCTATGGAAGCTCTGGTTTTTGCCTTCAAACTTTTTCTAACCTAGAGCCAAGAGGAGGCTTGTCCTCTTATAGAACTCCCTCTTGCAAAGCTTATACAACAAGTTTGCTTAGAGGGAGATCCCTCCATACACGTGTATGGAGGGAGGCAGAGTTGGTGCCAGCTATCACAGCTGGCACAAAATATCTACATAAAGTAGATGAACAGTGGTCGGCTGCCCAAAAATGTCATTTTGACAAAAAAGAGTGCCGACCGACAACAAAATTTGCCAACCGGCAACAAAATATGCCGACCGGCAGAAAAGCTTGCCGATGGAAGGAAAAACCAGCCGGTGACCCCTAGCCACTGCCGGTGGTGTGTGGGGATGTCTCACAAGGCATTCCCTCCCCTTCCAAGGCAAAACACAAGTGTTTGGTATGAAACCAGACACTAAACAGTCAAGTTCGGAGATCCTGAGGCAAGGCGCGTAGCCGAGACCTCCGGGAACTCCAAACGAACACAAACATGGATAATCACCGAGTGTTCAAACGGTGACGTCCAAGTCTTGAGGACGGTCAAAAATGGGGTGTCTACAATTGTCCCTCTTTGACAGAACTCGAAAGTCATAATAATGACGGGAGTGAATGTCAAAGCCCAGAGACGACCCATTTTTGACAAGGCCGAAGACTCAGACAAACATGCAAGACAAACAAGGTACGCGCCCGAAGGCAGGGACAAAATGCAAGACAATGTACGAAGCCGAGCATAACTTAAGATCATACAAAGAAAACTGTAATGAAGCACACATGCGACGATTTAAGCTAGCATACACCGAACTACACTACAATGCAGAAGGGATGTACGAGAATTATGTAATTCTCAATACGTCTCACTCGGAGGATATAATACCTGTGCGGCTCGTCTGGTTGCACCAGCCTCAAATGAACCGTACATACAATATTGTGCCTGCAAAGAAAACAAACTTAACAGGTACAATATTGTTAGGAACATACATAATAGCATACTCGGAATACGCGACAATGCAAAGCAAGTAGGGAGTATAACAATGCTGCGAAGGTACAGATGTGTAAGTGGAACATGCGGTGTCTACAATACGTGTTTCAAAGCATGTTATCAAAGTGTTGCAAATGCCATATTAGTAGCCGAGCCTATTAATTGCATTATTGCATGTGTTGCATTAGGCATCTTGTATAGTTAGGATCATGCATCTTTCTAACTAGTTTTTGTTTTGGCTTGGAGTACTCAGTAAGCTTTTACGCTTTAGCATATTGCATGAGTGTAATTGCCATAAATGCCATGTTTCGCATACTTGCCATGAGTGTATGTTCTTAAGTGATTAATTGCATGAATGCCTGTGGATGAAGGCTTTGTTGCTTGAATTGGAACAATTCGATAAATGTGAGTTTTAAGCCTACTTTGCGAAGTGGCAAATCATATTTTAAGCCCATCATGTTTGATGGCAAATCCGCTTTTTATCCCACTTGAGGGTGGCAAATTCAAACCATTTTCGAAAGCAAACATGAGTTGAATTCGCTCCAATTCTTGCGATGTTGGTCTATGCTTGTGTGTGCATCACATAGTAAAGTTAGCTAATAACCGGAATAAGAACACACGAGGTTTATAAAACAACATATCATGATAGTAGAGGCCGATCTTTGATTGGGCGAGTAGGGGTGCTCATTTCAGGACATTTCCCTCTCGTACCCAAGTTCTCGAGCCGAGGCAACTTTGGTGATGACGGACACATGGTCTTTGGCACGAGTCAGGGTTTCCTAAATTTTTCAAAAATAAAATATTTAGGCAGCGACTTTGTAATCTGGCAAAGCAGTCCAGTTTTGGCATTATTTGATTTAAAATCTAATTTTTCAAAAATGATTTGCTAGATTGGACTCTTTGGTGCTTATCAGTCTCACATTGCACTTTGTGAG